TGACTGGGGCAACGGACCCACACAGTCAATAATCAAATGCTCGAAAGGCTTACCCACAGATGAAATGGGCTGTAAAGGCGCGGGCTTAACGACAGCATTTTGCTTACCTGCCACCTGACAGACATGGCAAGTTTGAACAAACTGTGCAACAATTGATTTGATTTGGGTTAGGGTTAGGGTTAGCATTGATTTGTTAAAGTTGATGTAAATATGATCAACTTTAACATTGATTTGTTAAAGTTGATGTAAATATGATGAATTTAAAGGCCTGTACAGACTAACCAAAATGCTTCGTATTGCCTTGTCATGTGTAACTACATATTGCTCGAAATAAACAAATAAATAAATAAATAAAATTGTATGTTTTCTTTACACCAAAATGACCCGCTGTTTCCCCATGAGCTGTTTTCAGTGCCACATCACAAAACTTTTCAGGCATCACCACCTGCACAATTTGATCTCTCATCTCATGTCCCAAAGTAGGTGACCACCTTCTTAGCAACAGACCATCCTTCACAAAATAGCCGCGATCCAAACTGTCATCTGCAGCCCACTCAAAGTACTTCTGTAAGCTCAGATCACTCCACTGAGCCTCAGCAATGTCAACACGAGACAACGGTACCGGTAACTGTGGAATAAATAGCTGCGCAGACGTATGCTGCGATACATCAGACAAATTTACATCCTGCTTATGCGCCATAGCGCGCGTCACAGCACATGCCGTAAAAACATCTGGAAAATCTTTTTGACAGCTATCTGACTCATCCAATAAAGAAACTCCGGTATTAACCACATGAGGTGGTGAAACTTGATCTGGAAAAACACGGTCATGAGCAAAATTATTACCCACAATCAGATCAATTCCCTCTATAGGTAGAGAAGGGCGCACCGCAATGGTTACTTCACCGGTCACAAAACCAGAGAACAATTGAATTTTGTGCAGCGGCACGGGAAATGACTGAAGACCAATTCCCCGTATCAACACGCAATTGCCTGTATCAGACTCAGACGAAAAGGGCAAAACAGATTGACAAATAAAACTCTCTGATGCACCCGTATCACGCAGAATCTTTACCGGAACGCGATGTGCGTTTCCAACCAATGCCACAAAACCCTCCGTGACAAACGGCGCATAATCCTTTATAATGGAAACCGGAAAATCCATTACTCGGTACATTGCTCAAACCTTTTTCAGTTGATGCTGTGCACGATCCTATTGTCTTTGCATGAGTTTTATTATCTTTAATCTCTGAGCGCACACCATGAACAGATGAGGTGCAGAGGCCAACTTTACCCCTATTTCGCTCCAATAACACTGGGCAATTTTTTTTCCAATGATTTTTTCCAAAACAGTAGTTACAATCTGTCTTAAAATCTAAATCCGATGGTTTACCCCGTGCACTTGAATTTGAACACCCAGATGTATCTGTATTCACACGACTATAGCGGCGTTCTTTGTAACTAGGGCGCGGACAAAAATCGCGCACTGAAGACTTGTGTATCAGAGAAAAATTGTCAGCCAGAACAGCGGCATCTGCTGCTGTTTTCACCTGATGTTCACTAATATAAGTGGAAATGCGATCAGGCAAAGTGTTCTTAAGTTGTTCTAATATCATAAGATTACACAACTCATCAAAAGAATCAACCTCTTCAGCTGTAAGCCAACGATGAAACGATTCCCTAGCCCATTCAGCATAAGTTTGCTTGTCTGATTTTTTCCATGATCGAAAACGCCGTCTATAAGCCTCAGGGATTAACTCGTAGCTCTTAAACACAGCTGACTTGACGGATTTATAGACTCTCTTTTCAGAAGACTGTAAAGCTACAAATGCCTTCTGCGCACGTCCAGTTAACGTAGTTTGTAACAATACAATTTTATCCTCATCACTCCAATATTGTTCAATGGCAATATTTTCAAATAATGAAAAAAACACATCTGGATCATGCTCATTAAACGTAGGCAGGAACTTGATCATATCGGCCAGGCCGACCTGCTGTGATTTTCCAAGATTTACCTTCAGCTGCTAATTGTAGCCTAGAACGCTCAATCTCTCGTTCCCGCTCTAAATTTTTAAGCTTTTCCCATTCCAATTCACGATCCTTGTCTTTCTCTGCCGCTTCTAACCTTATACGGTCCAATTCGTTATCAAGCTTTCTCTGAGTCAACTCATCATCTAATTTTTTCCTTGCTAATTCTTGTTCCAATTCCAATATCTTTTGTTCCCTTTTTAACTCATGTTGCAATTTTAACATTTCAACTTGCTGTTCAAATGTTAACACACTGAGTTTTTTCTGCGAGGCTACAAACAAACCTGGCGTGGGCTCACCATCTGAATCCGACCCCGACACACCCTCACTACTGCGCGCCGGCAATTTCTCATCAGGTAAAACCTTCTTATCAATCAAACACGCACGAATTAAGTCCACCAGCTCACACTTCTCAGCTACCCTCGGCAATGTTATATCAATTCCATAGTGCTCAGCCACACTATGCAACTGTTTAACATTCAACGCCGCGAGCAAGACCACCGAAGGAGCAGCTGAAAACGCCTCAAGTTTACTCATTATCACGGCTAAATTCACCAGTCTCCAATCAACAATCAAAAAGGCTATGGTCCATATAAACACCCCCTAGCAATACATCTAACCAAATCAAAACTGGGCTAATACATCAACATCTTTCAGGTTACTATTACAAAACCAACCACACAAAGTTCATCAGGCGAAGCGGAAAGTAGCTCACATTACAGGACAACTACGGAGTTTCCCCCTAAACATTTACCCCCCTACTATTCTAACCTATCGTCACACTAAGTCCAAGAACAAGGCTCATTTACTCACCAATACCGATGGAGTCGTACTGTCCCGACAAAAGTCAATTCAGCCGGTGCTCCACGGCGGTGCCCTCGTCCGGACTTCAGTGACCAGGAACCTAAACCCAGCAACGCATAAGCGCACTAATTGGGGATAAAACAGGCTCTGTAAAATGTCATCCTGCAACACAAATCAGCTTACAAACACACTTCGCCACACAAACTCATCAAACAAAGTATGGTTGGAAAAACTACTCTATATCTGCACAAAAACTCCACCAAAAAATGTTTTTGTCATAATCAAAACACTAACTTTAGCGATTAACTTTCTAATATTCAATTCATTAACTGAACACTCGATGCGGAACTCCCCAACAAACAAACACAACGAGCGCCAGCTGACTACTATCAGCTGATCACCTTACGTTCATTCACAAAATGTGAACCAATGACGTAGCACTATCCACACAACTAAGCCTACACAATACTGCGCGTTACAATAGTCTACTTACAATTCAGGATTCAACTGGCTGGACGAGCCCCCATATGTCACGTCTACCTAGCTCACAGTAGCAGTGACATAGGGGAGACCACACCGTTTGTAAAGTTAAATCAAAAAATAGTTTATTTAAACATTAAATGATAGAATGAAATCATAATTTAAATCAAGAAATGCATTAAGTCAGTATATGAGAAACAAGAGGAAACTAATCAAACTGTAGTGCAGATCAGTGTAATGCAAGCAAAACAAAAGAAAACATGGTGGAGTTGCTGCCTGCCTGGCGGCCCGAACAAAGCCGAGACGCACAGCACAGAGCAGACCCAACAACTGGCAGGAGATGCTTTTAAACAGTCCCTCCCATCAGCTGCTGTCTGGAGGACCGGAAGCAAACAGCTCCCTCTTCAGGCTGGGAGTAGGAGACCACACCTAGCACGGCAAAGCCGGGCATGACAGATTGTATCAGTCAGAATGTTTAATGGTTTAATTTAGTTTAATTCCGTTATGATTGGCTGTGATTTATGATTGATTTTGTCGTCTTGTCAGGTTAGGACAATAATAATAATAATAACTGTAAGCAGCCTTTTCACTGCACGCAACATGACATCATGACTTTTGCGTAAGCATACACGCCACTGCTGCACACGGCATTAAAGACACGATTGTCGCATTTCGCCCCCTAGTGGTAGTAGCACATAATTTTAAAATGTATCATGCGCAGCCCTTACCTTATTAATAAATTAATAAAGATAAACTACCAGCATTACTTCAGAAGGACAAATATTATGGATTTTCTAGGACTTAAATAATTAATATTTATCTAATAATTATTACAGACGTACACTACCTGTTAAAAGTTTTTGGACAGTAAGATTTTTAAGAGTTCTTGTCTTAGGACAAGTTTGATGCACTTTTTTGATCCGCTTCAAATGTTGACTACTGTATATTCAAACAGAAACAGTTATTTTAAATGGTAAAAATTGTACTGTTTTTACTGTACTTTGGATCAAATAAATGCAGGCTTGGGGAGTGTCTCTTAATCTATCCACGGCTCAAATCAGATCTCTGCAGATGGTTGGCACCTCACGCAGCCCCATTGCGACCCTCCATAGGAAATTAATGACTTCTTGTTTGTCATGTGAAAAGGCTGCTAAGTTTGCCGTATTCTAGTCATGGTGTAGTATAATACTGTGTATTAAGCCGCACTAACTTTAGACCTACAGTAGATTACAATTAGGATTATAATGGTTCAATATTACATTTCAATTTATTCATAGGGTTGTGGTTTTAAATTTATATTATGAGTAGGCTATATTTGGGGCATATATTATGGTAAATTACAGTGTTGCACTTTGTTTTCTTCTTCTTTTATAGGGTCTTTGTTCAAAAGAATGTTCCCTAACATTGCCAGCAGCTTTCAATGTGGAGAGACTAAATCATCTTATTTGACTGTTTTTGGCATAGCACCATATTGCAGCATTACAACACCGTAAAATAAAGTGTTACTGAACATTTGCATTCATTTCTACACAATCTGCACAAAAGTCTTTTAACATGTCTATTTGAAAAGAAACTTGAATGGCACATCTCTGAAAAGTATCCTACTGCAACATGTGAGGAGCACTATATAGGAGCACTCCACCCACTACACCAGCACTTATTACAGCTATTACAGCATAAAACGGACATAGACATCTCAATCTTTATTTGGAATTTATGTCACAAAATATAACTCATTTAGATTAAGTTTTATAATAATTTTAACAAATATTTTACCAATAGTGTCAACTGCACTTTTAAACATTTAATTTTGAATGCTTAGTTTCAAGTACAACAATGTTTCTACTACTGTACATTTAACATGAATGAAGCAAAAGTGTCTTATTTTAATCATTCTGTCCCTCAATATCAAGATTATGATTTGTTTAGATTACTTTTGATGGACAGCAAACCAAATACTTTTAGTTTTAAGCGTAAATAAGAGCAAGCAAAGACACTTTCAGGGTTCAACCAGATCATAATGTTAGTCAATCATCTGAAGAGACACACACACACACATGCACTGTATCGAATCGTCTTCACTGGTAGATCCACTGCATTGCTTTTTTTTCTTTTTTTGCCAGATCTGAACGGTCAGTTGCAGTTGCTTTAATACAGAAACAGATTCCAGTGGCCATTCCCAGCAGAGCCAGAGTCATTCCCAGTCCACAGAACAGCACTGGACCCACACTGGGCGCGACAGCAGACGCCTTTCCGACACCTGTCAATCATCACACGCGTGTGAACAGCCGTCCAGCAGATGCATGTACAACACAATGTTTCATAGTCAATCCATTCTGCTCTTGGGATTTCATTAGTATGTATACGTGCGTCATTGATACGGATATAAATGGGAATAACAGAAATGATAGTGTTTTGGTTGATTTTCTGCTCTTACCCCAGATCTTGGTCTGTGGCCGCTGGAGGGCTCTGTGGTTCACCGTACAGCTGTAAATGTCTCTGTGTTCAGGAATGATCTTCAGGGAGGAGAACACGTGGAAGAGTCCATCGTTCCTCGGCCGGCTCTGGCTCAGACTCACGCCTTCTGTCACCATCACGTTGTTCTTCGTCCAGGAAACGTTGACCGGCGGAGGGAAGAACCCCGTCACGTGACAGATGAGGGTGTTCTCAACCCCCGGCTCGACATCATTCTGCGGATAGATGGAGGTCTCGGGCGGGTCTGAGGACACAGGACACGGTTAAACTCTGCTGGAGTGAATCAGACCTCACTCAGATTAAGATCTTTCATAGGAAAACTAACACATATAAGTGTGAGACAAAACTTAACCAAAATCTTGATGACACCACATTTCATTTCTGTTTCCAAACAGATTAATGTGAATGTTTTACAGTAAAACTTGTCATGCTTTACAGTGCAAATTCACATCGTACCCATTTCCTCTGGTGGGTTGTTGTAAGCTTTAATGCACACATCTAAGTTTTGTTTGCAAACTTCTTGTTGTGCAACGCTCGCTTCATAAAATCCTGGAAAGCTCATGGGGTCTGCAAAATCAGGTAATGTATTTACTCCCATCTTTCGAATAAAGTCAGCATGCCACATCTCCTCTCCGTCAGATCCAAGCATACTTTCTTCTTCTGTGCCAGAACATCCAGTTATGTAGAAATAGTTGTGTATAACTGAAATCAAAAGACAACATCAAAAGTAGAAAAGATCAATTAAAAATATCAAGAATGAATAAACTGCTTAAAAAAACTTATTTAAACTTAGTAATTAGTTTACTTGATGAAATCATGCATCCCTGTACAGGCGTTTCACATTAAAAGTCTAATATTCAAAGAATGCCTTACACTGAGCATCAGTTGAGAGTAAAACCGTGAGGGTAAGAAGGGCCAGCTCCAGCTCCATGTTTGTAGATGACAGTGGAACAGACCGAAGACAGCTTTCATGAAGTGAAAGAGGAAATGATGTGGACTCAGATCCTCCAATCAGAGGCAGGCTCTCACTGTGACACTGCTGTCGCTAGGGGAACGCTGTCCTGCTACGCTCACACGACTCCCGCACTCTGGACTTCATCTTCATCTTCATCATCCGTTGCAAAACAAATTTCCAAGTAAAATGTTGAAAAACCCATTCTGGTAGTAGTGTTGAAATGAAGCTGAGGCTTTCCCCTGAAGTGGATCGTAAATCGGCTCATCACTCGAAGCTTTTCAACACGCCGCACACTAACGACATCTTGTGGTCAAAAGGTGGAAAAGCTACCTTTCCCATTGTTTTTATTCTTTTATATTATAAATCACTTTGTACTATGAAAACCACACAGCAATAACAATAATCCGCGTTAGTGTAGATGTTTACACAATGTATGAACAAATGAGTCTATCAATTCATTTATGAAATAATTAATGCATAGGACAAATGAACTCTGCTTTGGTCAAGGTCAACTTTATTTTCAATTTCCTCACATACAGTGCCTTGCGAAAGTATTCGGCCCCCTTGAACTTTTTGACCTTTTGCCACATTTCAGGCTGCAAACATAAAGATATAAAACTGTAATTTTTTGTGAAGAATCAACAACCGGTGGGACACAATCATGAAGTGGAACGAAATTTATTGGATTTTTCAAACTTTTTTAACAAATAAAAAACTGAAAACTTGGGTGAGCAAAATTATTCAGCCCCCTTAACTTAATACTTTGTAGCGCCACCTTTTGCTGCGATTACAGCTGTAAGTCGCTTGGGGTATGTCTCAATCAGTTTTGCACATCGAGAGACTGAAATTTTTGCCCATTCCTCCTTGCAAAACAGTTCGAGCTCAGTGAGGTTGGATGGAGAGCGTTTGTGAACAGCAGTTTTCAGTTCTTTCCACAGATTCTCGATTAAATTAAGGTCTGGACTTTGACTTGGCCATTCTAACACCTGGATATGTTTATTTGTGAACCATTCCATTGTAGATTTTGCTTTATGTTTTGGATCATTGTCTTGTTGGAAGACAAATCTCCGTCCCAGTCTCAGGTCTTTTGCAGACTCCATCAGGTTTTCTTCCAGAATGGTCTTGTATTTGGCTCCATCCATCTTCCCATCAATTTGAACCATTTTCCCTGTCCCTGCTGAAGAAAAGCAGGCCCAAACCATGATGCTGACACCACCATGTTTGACAGTGTGGATGGTGTGTTCAGGGTGATGAGCTGTGTTGCTTTTACGCCAAACATAACGTTTTGCATTGTTGCCAAAAAGTTCGAGCACCTTCTTCCACATGTTTGGTGTGTCTCCCAGGTGGCTTGTGGCAAACTTTAAACGACACTTTTTATGGATCTCTTTAAGAAATGGCATTCTTCTTGCCACTCTTCCATAAAGGCCAGATTTGTGCAGCATACGACCATTGTTGTCCTATGGACAGAGTCTCCCACCTCAGCTGTAGATCTCTGCAGCTCGTCCAGAGTGATCATGGGCCTCTTGGCTGCATTTCTGATTAGTCTTCTCCTTGTATGAGCTGAAAGTTTAGAGGGATGGCCAGGTCTTGGTAGATTTGCAGTGGTCTGATACTCCTTCCATTTCAATATTATTGCTTGCACAGTGCTCCTAGGAATGTTTAAAGCTTGGGAAATCTTTCTGTATCCAGATCCAGCTTTAAACTTCTCCACAACAGTATCTCGGACCTGCCTGGTGTGTTCCTTGTTCTTCATGATGCTCTCTGTGCTTTAAACGGACCTCTGAGACTATCACAGAGCAGGTGCATTTATACAGAGACTTTATTACACACAGGATTCTATTTATCATCATTAGTCATTTAGGTCAACATTCAGGATCATTCAGAGATCCTCACTGAACTTCTGGAGAGAGTTTGCTGCACTGAAAGTAAAGGGGCTGAATAATTTTGCTCACCCAATTTTTCAGTTTTTTATTTGTTAAAAAAGTTTGAAGTACCCAATAAATTTCGTTCCACTTCATGATTTTGTCCCACCTTTTGTTGATTCTTTACAAAAAATTGCAGTTTTACATCTTTATGTTTGCAGCCTGAAATGTGGCAAAAGGTCGAAAAGTTCAAGGGGGCCGAATACTTTTGCAAGGCACTGTATAACAGACATACAAAGAAATCCAAATTGTGTTTCTCACTAATCAACCCTGGATGAAATATAAATATAAATGAATATAATAAATTACACAACAATACAAACAAAAGAGCTTAAAACTTCAGCTGTAGTCCTAAACCTTTGAGTTCATAGGCAAGGCTCATATAGGCATACTGTATATAATCACAATAAAAGAAAGCTATTGTGGAATGGGGAAAGGCTGGTGAAAGAGTTGAAGAAATTAAAGATGTTTTATGTTCTATGTTTTACTCAGAGTCTCTCAATATCTGTAGGCATGTCTCTATAGTTTGAACACACACACACACACACACCAAAGCATGCCGCTGGACGGAGGCGTTTGAGGATTGTCCTGCAGGGCAAGGAGATCAAAAAGCAGTCCAGGCAATCAGTCTAGCACTGTTGGATCAGGATATCTCTTTGGTCTACTTCAAGTGATTGTAGCCTGGCATAAGATGCAGAAAATAAAGTCTTATAAATGACAGTATAAAAAATAGAAAAATAGTGTACACATACCTGCATGTCAGCTCTCCTCCTCTGTTGAAGATCCTCGAGCCTGTCCGAGTAGATGGTCTGCTGCTTCTTCGTCCTCATCCACGGCCCCCAGAGCTCACGCTTATCTCTCTTCAACCAACAGCTCAACTACTGTCTGCACCACAATCTAAAGACACGGGAGGCGGACCGGCTCACTATTTGTTGACTTTTGCGAGTGCTGCGGCGCTTGTGGCCTCTAGGGGTGCTAGATGTGAAAGTTACAGGTTGAGCGCCCCTAGTGGCCAAAAGTTACTCAGTGTGCATTTAAGATACCTCATTATAAATACAGAAATTGACAAAGTTGTTGGTCTACTTCAAAAATATGTGTTTTCATGTTTAGCTCTAAAATGTCTCAACATTGACAATGTGTTGTTATTATAAGAAAGCTGAACATATTGGCCACTCAACCTACAAAAGGCGGTCACACGTATTCACTTGAGTACTTTTTTGTTTCATATACATAATGTAGGCCTATTATTTAACATATTACACTGAATATGCATACAATTACATGTAAATGTCCATTTACATTATAATTAATTTTTATATTCATTTTAAAATCATATTTGTTGGTAACACTTTACAATACGGGTGCATTAATAAGCAATAATTCATGCTTAACTAATGCACAAATAATACTGAATTAATGTGTAACTAATAATTTTTAAACTATTCATTAATGACTACCACATTAGGAACTAATTAAGAGTCTGTAGGGTTAATGTATTAGTTCATACATGAAGGGTTAGGGTTAGGAAAATGTTGTTGCCTTCATAACATGTTTTTCAAAATTTGAATCTGGGGTTATTCTCTCAATAAATAATTCCGAAGGTGTCCACACACAAAAGTCACAGTATGAGGATTTTGTAACATGAATCTGGCACTGTACTTGAAAGTAATAGTTGTGTTGTCTGTTAAGTTCCAGTGTGCCATCGGAGGAACAGGATGCAACCAAGCAGAAGTCTTTTTCTTTTGACAGTTCTAACAGTGTCTTGTCTTTAGCCAAGAAAGGGCATTTGATTTCCAAGCACCCACAGCCACAACAGTCACAAGTCACCTTCCCATCATGTGACGCACCAAGATGAGGGTGTTGCGGAGAAATGTAGAGCCCAGTGGGGGTTACATTAAAATTTATGTGTCTGGGTGACATGATCTCAATGTATTCCTCCTTTGCCTTGGTCTCTTCCTGGATGCCCCACCTGAAAATATTTAATAAAACACAAGTTTGCAAAAGTACATACATTTACATGTCCACAATTACTCTATGCTAAATTGTTATAAGAGATTGTATCATTTCCTTAACCTTTTGATAAGTTAACTTTGAAATATCATTATTTGCCTTTAAACTAAATATATTTAAATAATACCTTGTTGCTGCAGTTGTAAACTTTGCTGACTCTGGGTAGGCTAGCAAATGGCTTCCACTAGTGATTTTGGGGGCTCTTTATCATTACTTTTTATAACCACACCAAACTTGGAAGCTGTTATCCTGCCACATCTGTAGGTATACCACATCTTTGTTGAAGCCTGTCCCTTTGTCTCCTGTTCAATAAGCTGACACTGGGTGTCTGTGATCTTCAAATCATCTAAGACTTTATCACATTATTCAAGAAGTTCATTGTAGGTCAAAGTAGCATTCTCAGCTTCATAAAGTTGTCCTAGCGGTGTGGGATAGCCATCTTTTAGAGCCACAGGGACAAAGTCTTTGGAGTGTTTTGGAGCTACAGAGAGCACAGAAGCTCTTGGATTTGCATGCTTGAGCTTATCCAGAAAGTCTGCAAGTTCATTTTCTGTAGGTTTAGGTAAAGCTTCATAGGACCCTGACTTCTTTCGCGTAGCTTTGATTAATACATTCGTGTCAACTGGATTCAAAACCTGTCTACTCTGAGTTCTGGGACATGACATATCAATAGAAGAAAGTTCGGAGCAGGATATTTTCTTTGTTTGTGTTGGCTGAAGCCACTGACATGGTAATGAAGTGCACGGTGTGTCATCACGCATTCTCACTCGGTACATAACTGCAAACATCAAAGCCGCTACATGCGAACAGGTCCCTCCAAGCCCTGCCATACATGTACAATGAGCTGTCAAAACTGTCCCTGTCTTCTCTGCAGCTATCCAAGCTTTCAATGGTGGATCGTTCATTCTCTGGCTGTGTTTCACCTGCACACAAATTATCGCTAAATAACACTACAACAAGCCAATGTGGTTATCGCTAAATAACATTAGTGAATGGCAGTGTTAGCAAACAAAGCAGGTCTAACGTTAGCTAACTTAGCTACAGTTTTCCAAATAAAAGTACAAATATGTAACGTAATACAAACCTGTCCACAGATGACCATAATACCTGTAGGTGTCCTGGTCACTTTCATTTCGCCAACAAATCCCGCCTTGAAGTATGACCAAGCGTCAAGGCTTTTATATGCCTTCAGACTTTGTCTTGTGTATTGTCCCGGCTTTGAAATCAGGTACATATAAATGTCAGGAAACTCGATTCCTGGCCACATCTGAATGTCCACGGACCACTGATTTTTTGGAAAGCTGTAAGGGTCACTGTCAAGTCCAACTGCCCTTAATTTAAGCTGGTTCTGTAATTTGACATTTTATATTTAAGGCTTCTTTTCCAGCCACAGCAGCCTGTTAAGGATCCCTGTTCCTTAAGGCAAGGATGCCGTTTTATAAGGGCTTCTGCCACTTCATTGAATTCAGCATCAGAGAGGTACACTTTGAATTTTACTATTTCTTCAGCAAGTCCATCCAAAATGTCTGATTTCAGCTTTGGGTCTGGATTCAGAAGAGAGCCTTTTTTTTGGTATTCAGAATTGCCTTGTTCCAGCTTAATTTCTGCATCATAGGAGAAACGGGGCACAACAAAACATGTTGGCCAAGAAGACCTTGTATTCAAAGTCAACTCTTGGGAGTCAAGGGATGAAGAAGATGATGCTTCAGAGGATGATCTTGAAGACAGAATGTCTGTGTCACATGATGATAGAGATGGAGATACTGCTAAAGAGTCGCAGAGTTTCATGACCTTAAGGGTGCTTTTGTTCTGAACATCAGTTGTGGAAGTCAGGTTCACAAATTCATTAAAGTCAGGGTCCATGATTTGAAGTCTGAATTCTCCCAACAAATTACACTGTGTCTGTATCTCATTCTTTAATTCTGCCAAAGAACAAGGAACACCATTCTGAAGTTTCACTTTTTGTGCATCGTTCTCTCCCAGAATTACACGCAGGATGATGGTCGAGGTCACATTTACAATCCTGTTGATGAGAAAAAAAAGTGTATTGTTTAAACTGTAGGTAAATAAGCTTCATTCATACAGGTAAACAAGAAATATTTAAATGGCACCTGTTATGAATGAATTTGTCTTTTCAGTGGCACCAAACGAAGACCTCCAACCTTGTAGTCAGCCAGTGAATAGCCATCAGCTAATTCACTTAGTTCAAGAAAGAAAATCTCCCGTGATGGAGAAGAGGTCAGTTCAAAGGCCCTAAAATGCTCCCTATACCAACCACACAGACCTTTAAGTACAAAACACAGTCCCTTCTGCACTATACACATCTGAATTATCTCTGCAAATTCAGGGAGCCCGTCTAAAGAGCGACAAACAACAATCATCCCATTTCTGTAACTGACGCCTTTACTGGTGGCACTTGTGGTGATCTGGATGAATTCAGTGCCTGGGTACTTGTCTTGGATGACCTGTTATTTCTGTTCTCAAAACAGTCAGAGCCACTGTTGACACAGTTGATACATCTAGTACAGATTTTTCAGGATGGTACGATTTCAAACTGTGCAAAATCATTAGCTGGTGCTTAGCTGCAAGTGTAAGGGGGATATTTTTGAAACAATTGGTAAGCCGAGCAACTTGCTTGAAAAAGCTATGTTTGGATTCGAAGCGCATAGTCCACAGATGCACAAGTGGACCATATGACTTGATAAGTTCAGGATAGTGTTCCAAGAAGTGCTGTTTTGTAATTAACTTCACATCTGGAAAAACTTCCTGAAACCTCTGTCGGTGTTCAGAAATTTTGCCATCAAGGTATGCAATTGACTCATCAGTGTGAACTGGTGATACCACAAGTTCTACAATATCTTTGAGATCCATAAGCACCAGCCACCACTAAGTTAGATTGGCTCTCTCCATCCCCGCACATATGTCCCCCATGAATGTCGCTGCCTGGGCTTCGGTGGAAAGCATCTCATTTTCTCCATAGAGCTCTATGTAATCTTTCTTATTCCACTTAGCTTTGGCGTTTCTGTTCTCATCCCAGTAGACAATTGCAGGGAAGAATTTAAACGCTGAAAGTGCCAGCTTCAAGCACGTCTTTACGTCCTGACCCGCCGCCTCCACAAGCTGGACAGCCCTTTTAAAGGTGTGCGGGTACTTGAAAGCGTCCCGCTCCACCAAGTCTCTGCTGAAGTCATTTACTGTCCTGCAGCCAATCAACTTTCCAAACAAAGGGGGGGTCTTGTCTTTCAGTGCATTTGTCGGAATTTGGGAATTTCTTTCGTGCAAGTCACTGAGAAGAATTTGGACAAGCGATTCACCGACGATAAGTGGTGGGGCCTTCAGGGAATCAGTAATGGGGAATATCCTCATCACTCTCGTGATTTGAATTTGGTCATTAAAACCAAGTGGTGAATGGTGGTGTATATTCCCCCACACTTGCACTTCCTGGTGGAGACAATCCCAGGAAACCTCTTCTTCGGGTGATGCTGTTTGGGTTGGTACTGTTTGTTCCCAAACTTACTGAGAACTGAACAGAACTTTTGCAATTGGGTTTGCCAAAGAAAAGCTCTTCCAGAGCTAGCTCGTACTGGAAGGCAGTCCAACTGTTTGTATATCCTCCCTGCCCTTTGCATTCTTGCAAGAGGTTGTAGAGGGTCTGAGTCAGCCAATCTGTCACCGGGTGGATTACATGCCTCAGTCCCAATTTGTTGTGATAGTCTACAAGACCACAGGTTGTGATGACCCTACTGACAGGATGTTTGGGGACTCTCGCAGCATAGCAGTGCGGTGTCGTGGAATAGAGCTGAACAAAGTTCAATTCTGAGTAGGGAACAATGCCATTGAGGACCACTCTCAAGTTGTTATCGATGGTCAGCGGATGTTGATCCAGGTTTGATTGGTAATTTGCTGCCTCAGCCATCCCATAAGTGGTGTACAAGGACCCCCTGTATCCCACGACCTGTTGTAGTCCATGTCTTGACCACAATAATTCCATCTTGGGGTGAGCATGCAAAGATATACTTTCGATTGCTCCCAAGTCTATCATCTCTGCCAGTTTGATGGGATCCTTGTCCTTCTGGCCAAATTTGGTCAATGTAAGAACAAGTTTTTGCTCCGGATTGGTGTCAACTTCCTTGATCGCCTCCATGAAAAGATTCAGCACAAAGGCTTGGTCCTCCTTTAGAATGTGCATCCGCCCCAGGTTGAAACTCTTATTTTTCATTATTGTGTCCCTTTGTTTTTCCTCCGGCGGAAGATTTTTTATCTTTTCAGAGAACACGTTGAATACCGTGTTGATTACCACGATTGCGTTTGCACGGGCGGCATTTTCAGTGTTGAAAATTACACCAGGGTGGGTGTGATGGGCGGATACAATGCTCAGATTTAGGTAATGTCCTCCGTCCATGAAGGCCAGGACAGTTCCATAAGTTTTGTTGAGAGCGGAGAACCCAGCCCCTTTGTATGTGTCGAGTTTGAGGTGTTTCTTTATGATGTTCCAGTGGTGTTGGAGGTTTGGAAACAAAACTTTCCCCACAAACAGGTAGTTGATTGGAATTTTTATTCCAGTGAGGTCTTTGATTTCCATGACTAGGCCATCAAAATCATAGGCATATTGTAGGGCACGTTTAGAATCTAGAATCGTGCTCGGGAACAGTGGGATGTGGAAATCTTCATCCATCAAGAAGTCATTGACGAAATTGTACGAATAGATGGCATCCAACAAATTTTTCGTATTTTCTACCGGGGAATTGTTGAAATGGTACCAGTAGATGTTATCCATTTCTTCGTCGATGAACTCTTGTCCTTAATTAACTTCCATTTTTAGAGCAGAAATCGTTTCTGAAAATAATAAAAAAAAAAGATTTGTTCAGCGAAATATAGAAAATCGCAAATGTCTCATAGACAATTGCTAAAACGGTGTAGCTAGAATCTCAATGTGGTAGTGGTTGGATTCTGCAAGACCGTTTGGAAGATCTGGTTCTGAAGTAAACTTAGGCATATCGCAGGGTTTTGTAGGGTTTTAGTTGTTAAGCGGTTTAGCTAGAATTTTAAGAGAGTTTCGAAATAGTTCCAACACATTACGGACGGTTTTGTAGCCAATACGCGTTACGATTTCCCCATTTTTTTAGTATCAGTGTGTTTGTGGTGTTGAGGTGCTGGTGTGCTGTGCATGCGTGGCCTAAAACGCCATCCGTCAACTTTCGACATGATTGGCGAAGTCTGATATCTCGAGTGGAAAGCCAGACGAGCTGTTCAGGCTGATACTCTGGATTGGGTCGGCGGTGTTTATCCGCAAACTGTTGCTGCCGGTTGACAGCTTGCCGGATATGGTGATGTGTCTGATCCCAGACCTGTTCACTCTCTTCAAACCACTTGTTAACTGCTGGTACTTCTGAGGGTTCACCGGACCACGGGAATAACGGAGGTTGATAGCCAAGGACGCACTGGAATGGAGTTAACTGAGTGGATAGTAACTATAGTAACTATAGTCCTAAACTCAATCAAGCATTATTCTATGCAAAATAAATAATCACATTACTGTAATTATATTATTATTGTTAAAATTACAATTAGTAGTAGTATTGTATTATCTAATAAAGAGATTTACGTTACCGCTAGTTAGTTAGCTCCAGCTGGAGAACACTCGGTTCTCGCCGGCTCGTCTTTTGCCGGGATGTTTCCTCTTTAAGTGCTCCGACATGCATGTTGAGCTCCCGTGAAAAGCAAGTTCCTCCTTGCATGTATTGCACATGACAGCATTGTTGGTTTTAAGTCAAGTCAAGTCAAGTCACATTTATTTATATAGCGCTTTTCACAATACAGATTGTATCAAAGCAGCTTCACACTGATAACATAGCACAACATAGATCAACAACATTGCTAAACACTAAATAACCCCAACTGAGCAAGCTCAAAGCAAGCCAAAAGCAAGGCGACAGTGGCAAGGAACCAAAACTCCATCAGATTGGATGGAGAAAAAACCTTGGGAGAACCCAGGCTCAGTCAGGGGCCAGTTCTCCTCTGGCTTACATTCATATTGTTTAAATATAAATATTAAATATAAATATTGTTTATGAATCAAACGGCGCCATAACATATCGCAGGCGTTGAGTCGTCTCTTCACAGGCGTTGGGGCATCCGAAATCCCCGTGAGAGGCTGGACACAAAACTGGACCTGACGAACGCCATTTTTCTCGGGACAAGCGTCCTGAGATAACAGCAGAAAGGCAGATGGGAAATAATTAGCATAGCTGATGTTCATAATGATTTCCGTTATAACTCATAAACTCTCCGTAACCTGAACTCTCCGCAACCCAACCATACGCGCCGACCCGTTTGTCTAAAAGGCTGTCGAGCCCCACTGGTGCGTTAAGCAGTTTCAGTGGCAAACGGTTCCGTATGACATAACAGAGGACTAGAAGGTAAGCTTTATGTGAATGCTTGACTAAAGAGATGCGTCTTTAATCTAGTTTTAAACTGTGTCAGCGAGTCAGAGGCTCGGACCGTATCGGGAAGGCCATTCCAGAGTTTTGGAGCTAAATGCGAGAACGCCCTCCCTCCTTTACTGGACTTCGATATCCTAGGAATGACCAGAAGCCTTGAATTTAGTGATCTTAAGGAACGCGGTGGATTGTAGGGCGAAAGAAGGTCCGTTAAGTACATAGGTGCTAAACCATTTAGGGCTTTATAGGTCAGTAGTAGTACTTTGTAGTTGATGCGGAACTTAATAGGTAACCAGTGTAGAGATGATAAAATCGGTGTTATATGATCATATTTTCTTGACCTAGTAAGAACTCTAGCGGCTGCATTTTGTACTAACTGTAGCTTGTTTATTGAGGATGCAGGACAACCGGCTAATAAAGCATTACAGTAATCTAGTCTTGAGGTCATGAATGCGTGAACTAATTTTTCTGCATCAGAAACAGATAGCATGTTACGTAGCTTAGCAATGTTTCTAAGGTGGAAAAAGGCTGTTCTTGTAACATATGAAATATGATTTTCGAAAGACAAGTTGCGGTCTAGTATAACACCCAGGTCTTTTACTGTAGTGGATAAATTAACAGGACATCCGTCTATATTAAAGTTGTATTGTGAGAGGTTTTGTGAGTAGTTTTTTGGACCAATAAGTAATACCTCCGTTTTATCTGAATTTAATAGCAGGAAATTACGCGTCATCCAGCATTTTATATCTTTGAGACACTCTGTCATTTTAGATGAGTTAGTGTTTTCATCTGGTCGTGATGAAATATATAATTGAGTGTCGTCAGCGTAACAGTGGAAATTAATTCCATGTTTTCTTATAATATTACCAAGTGGCAGCATATATATTGAGAATAGCAGAGGGCCTAAAACTGATCCTTGCGGTACTCCATAGTCTACTGACGTTATCTTTGATTTTTTCCCATTTAAACAGACAAAATGAGAACGGTCCGATAAGTACGATCTAAACCAGCTTAATGCCTGTCCCTGGACACCGGTGAAGTTTTGTAGTCGATCCAAGAGTATTATATGATCTATAGTGTCGAACGCAGCGCTAAGATCAAGTAGGACTAGTATTGAGATACAGCCTTGGTCAGAAGCTAAAAGTAAATCATTTGTAATTTTAACTAGCGCAGTTTCTGTACTATGATGCGGTCTGAATCCTGACTGGAATTTTTCATAGATATCATTTTCTTGCAAAAAAGAGCACAATTGAGCGGACACTACTTTTTCTATTATTTTGGACATAAATGGAAGATTTGAAATGGGTCTGTAATTTGCCAAGTTATTTGGATCTAATTGCGGTTTCTTAATGAGCGGTTTTATTACGGCCAGCTTGTATATTTTTGGGACATGACCTAAAGATAAAGACGAGTTAATAATATTGAGGAGAGGCTCTTCCACTACAGGTAATAGTTCTTTCAGTAATTTAGTGGGTATTGGATCTAATAAACATGTTGTTGGTTTAGATGCAATGATAAGTTTATTTAGCTCCTCCTGTCCTATCGTTGTAAAGCGGTTTAGTTGTTCTAGAGGGGCCATAATTGAAGCTGAATCATAAGACACCATGGAGGATTGTACATTTATAATTGTGTTTCGGATGCTTTCTATTTTCGCATTGAAGTAATTCATAAAATCATTACTACTAACTGTAACGGTATATT